TTTCCCAATATGCGTTCTCTTTGTCTCCAATGAAAACGCATTGCATCATAAGCGGCTTTTCTTATCTGTATTTGTAGAAATGATTGCTTCAGATTTTCCACTAGTGCCACAGGTTGAAGCAGAAGAAGCACAGTAGAAGTCGCATTTAGTTTTACTAGCACTTAAAGCGACCCTGTTCTTTGGGCCCTCACAGTTAAAACAGTTTTTTCTCCACCAGAAATCTCCTTCTCTCCTTAACCGCGGCAAGGTGCCTACAGTCAGATCTCTTGTGCAAAGTTTCTTCACTGTTGGCTTCGCTTAGTTAACAGGAATTCTGCGGTAGGTGGTAAGTCATGGATTGTTTTTTTTTTTTACTTTCGGATTGATCTTTGAGGTAAGAAAACTTTGACATAGTGGCCATCTTGAACTTGTCAATTGAATTCCATCTGTAAATTGACGCCAAAACCAAGTCCAATCAATGTTTGTTCCATAAAATTTAGTAATGGTAAGTTTTGGTTACTTCGAGTTGTTTGGTGTATATATTTGTAAATTTTTCTCTAAGAGCTCTTTTTTCGAGTGCCAAATGATCTTTCCTCACCCTTTCAACCCGCTCCTCATGAACTGTGCTCATAAATGTATAGATTTCGTTCAAACCCTGGACACCAGTTGTGATGTCTTGATCTAACTTCTCACTCCACATGGTGATGGCGATGAGAACCTCACCAGCAGCTTTTCAACTTTTCCCTTTACTCTTTTGGTCAAACTGACCACCGTGTTCAGCGCATCCCTGTGTCTCTTGATCCTGTTTCGTTCTGACTTGCAAGAATAGATTGAGTTTTTTCCCTGGTTATTTGAAGTTGCATAAGTTTTGTTTCAAGATCCTGGTTTGCAGCTTCCATATTTCTCTCTGATGAGTCAGTTGAAATATTCCTCATCATTTCTCCGAATGTTAAGGGCTATGCTGCTCCAAAGTTTACAACATGGACAAGGGCTTCTGTCCAGTAGTTTCTAAATTTGAGTTCGGCAAATACTGGAAGCAGTATGACCTAGACACTTCCACGGGCCAATCCATTGCCTTACCTCGTGGCATTATTATAAAGCTGTAGTAGTGGACCAAACAGAGAGAACATCTCTGTATGATATGCAAAATTCGCATCATCTTCATCAGAGCATTCTTTCAGACATGTATAAAAATGTTCTACGTGTATTTTATCATGGGTTCCTTGTCTTTGAAGGTGCTTCTTTGACGACTCTTTAGTTGGGAAGTACTTGGACATTTTGAAATTTAAACAGCGGCCATACCATAAGCCATTAATGCATCTCTCACAGCCTCCTTGATTTGTACCAGATTCTGTTCTTGAAATGTCTTTTTTCGGAATGTATCCTCAGTTAGCTTTTTACGATTTATAACATTGTTATCAAGTGATGAAAGCCTCCCTTTCCTTGCGCCTGGAATGTTGTTTCGCATAAATGTCCTTTTGTGTGCAGATCTCCTGATATCTCCGTCATCAAACCAAAAGCAGACTGGTCCTTTTGCTTCACACTTTTGTTCTTGCAGGTACCTTGGTCGCTAACGAGAGCAGTTACACTCTGTTACACTCTTGATGAGAAAGAAGGGTCATCAATCAACGCAAACCTGTCAACCAGGATTTTGCACATGTCAGTATACTTTTGCCCAATGCTGCAAGATGAAGTATACTAATACCACAACCTTCTATAACATTTGGGTTCACTCCAGCAGCGAGCAATACCCTGACAATGGTATTGTTACCAGATTCAACAGCGCAGTGCATGACGTTGGGAGCAGGTCAGTAACGTCAGTGGCTTCATAGCTCATTTGGTAGAGCATCGCACCGGTATCGCGAGGTAACGGGTTCAAACCCCGTTGAAGTCCTAAATTTTTTTAGGCTTCTTTACGCAATTGCATAAATTGTGTTCACTGCGACGATCATTTCTTCATTCTCAATGATAACAATATTACTACTAATCATAAAAGAAGAAGAATTTTTTTCTCACCTGCAAAATGGTGGTGTATGTATTTTCCACTGGTATTGAGTTGATACAGTTCATTAGTAGGTTATCTTTGCACTATTGTGATACATGCCTTTAGGCTCTTCTCCAGGGATTCTGTGATTGAAACGCATCTATTGAAAAAGGTTGCCC